CAACACCTAATACTACACATTATAACCGCTGCAAGAATCTCTGTAGCTCAAAACTGGAAACTGACCATGACACCCACAGATCTAGCGGTGATTAATAAGATACCTCAATGCGCAGAAATGATTACTGTGTTATTAAAAAACAGGGAAGAAGAATATTTTACAATATGGAATATATGGTATAACTGGTTAAAAAAGAAGTGGAGTAAAATGTTTTGTAAAAATGACCAATGAAATCTCAAAGAAGAATGTGATATATGACCTATGTGTTTATATGTAAAGTAATGTAGATAGGTAAGTATTGCACTTCAACAGCAGTATAACAAGTAAGAAATTAGTAAATTAGCTATAGATATATTTATGGTAAATGAACTTAATTGTTATTAAAGGATATGTACGCTGATATGATATCGCTGTAAAATATGAGAACTTGTTTCTCTTTTTAAAATTTTTTGAAACTTTGACTAAATAATTTTTTTTAAAAAAAGGACTTTTTGAAATTGGATACAATCACCGAAATTTTCAAGTCTGCTTGTTTTGTACCTAAAAATAAGGAGAAATTCCCTGAGCGTAAAACCATCAGAAGCATTGTGGATGTTTTTAAGAGATTGGACAACCACTTGTCAGAAATAGTATAGGGCAGTTATGGCTAAACCGAGTGGCCAAAGCACGCATGCACATCCCCCAAATACAATGCGAGCATGTCCACTGCGCAGGTGCCCCGCTCCCCCGTGCATGTGAACTTGTCGTAAGTCAAGGACTACCTGTACTGCATTATGAAAATGTAAACACTTCTTGAAAGCATTCTCAATGTGACATGTACATTTCCATTCTAACCATTGCTGGGTTTCAAAAGCGGAAGACTTTGAAAGGTTTTCATCATTCCAAAGCTCAATTCTTGGATGGTGCAGTTTCAAACTGCTGCCGTTACAGAATTCAAGCTCTCAAAGAAGATTTATATGTTTTTAACGCTTTATTTAAATAAACCAAACCCCAGAGTATGTATAACTGTGTGGCTTTCATAATCAGTTTTGAATGCTAGTGTCGGATTGAGATGGCCAAAACAGATACTTCTTGTGTTTTGAGCAAATTGAGATGGCCAAAACAGAGACTTTCTCATGTTTGAGAAAATTGAGATGGCCAAAACAGAGACTTCTTGTACTTTCCAGCCAAAGAGAAAAATTATAGCCCTTCAGAGAACCGAATGCATCTCCACCACCAACCATACTGACCTCATAATCTACTTCTCTATTTAAGAAATACGTTCTAAGCCATATTAACCCCGGTGTTAGAAACACAGAACCTTTTTTAATAGTGTAATTCCTGATTTTAATGTTTGTTCCATGTTGCTTTAAAAAAGTTCTCCATGAAAAACACATAAGAATTCAGCAACTTCCTCCTCGCCAAAACCCATCAATTTAGAGGCTGTATATAACCTGAGATATCAGCCTGCCTAATGGCTGTAGAAAAGGATAGGACATTAAAATGTGGCTGAATGTTTTGGCTGCATAGATTTCTTAACACAACCACAAAGGATGAAAGATGCTAGACCCCAAGGCAACTGGACTTTCTTATTTTGCTAAATGTTTTGCTGCTGATCCAAGAAGCTTCTTTAATTCTGAATGAATGTGGAGAACGGAAGGATTTATATTCTTTGCTGTCATCTGGTTGTTAGCACTCAATGACTCCACTGGTCTACATGGAGATAGCCTCTGAAATGAAACGACCTTAATTTTACCAGAATTGGGTCACTAATGAAGAAAAAATAAGTCCTGAGTATTAATTGGCTCCCATTTCCAAGATACAGCTTCAGGTCAAAACTGCATAATTCAATAATTTAAAATGACAAGTGGGATGTGTGTTTACGCTCCATAACTTTTTTGCCAAATGTGATATAGCAACGAGAATGGTGTCATACCAATTGTTATAAATTCACCTTTGTATCGATATCATAACTTTTCATTCATTGATTGGTTTTTCATTTAACATTTTCATGCTTTTTGCATGAAAAACTGATGCGCTCTAACATCAGATTAAATGACAAGATTTCGTCTTTATTCAGTATCTAAACTGCGCTTTTTGGCTCTTCTTTTGTGAACTGCAATAGGATGGTCCCTGGGGAAGATTCCAGAAGAAATCGCCAAGCATGGGCGGACTCCCATTTCCCTTAATATCTTTATTCCATGCCTGTAATACCCTGGTGGAATCTCTCCCCATGCTCATCCCTCACTGCCCCACAGTTCAAAGGGTCTAAACGCCAGTGTACGAAGTGAATTTTCAGTGACATTTTTGCACCAAGTGCTTTATAGGACCTAAGCAAATTTTCTACCTGTTTTTCATAGTCATCTGCCTTGCTGTTCTCAAAGCGAAGGTAAATTTATACACTTCATGTGGTACCATTTTCATTGTTCCACTGTATTTTGTTGAGAAGTTACAAGGCATCATGATTGTTAGACACCTCCTTCCCTTGCAGGCAAATATACTCGGCTGTGCATAAATCTATATTGTGAAATATCCCGAAAACTTTAGCCAACCAGCACCTTTATCGCCCTGTTTTCTACTCCATCTAATCAAAATATGTAAAATGAACACATTTTATCTGGGAGGTCGATGATTTCCCAAAATTTGTAAAGCAGTGCTCCCAAAAAGAGTACTAACAACCAGATGACTGCAAGGAATATAAATCCTTCCATTCTCCACCATTCAGTCAGAACTGAAGAAGGGAAACGTCTTCTAGCAAAATGTCCAGCTGTCTTTTGAAAGAAAAGACAAAAGCACTTTTGAAACAACCCTGACCTGGACAACTGAGAATCTCCATAAAACACAAAGGATGGTAAGAGTTTCACAATATCAGGTCACTCATAAAAGCTAATCAGTAAGATTCTAGTAGTTGTGAAGGTGGATATTGGTCAGAACTGGGAATGTCAAAATTACAGACAAAGCATCACGATCCAAACCTTGCCTTTTTGTAGCTGAAAAGCGCAACACTAGAAATGCTTTTCTTCTTGGGGGTCTGGGGAAAGTGTGGGCCTGTGAATCTTCCCTAGTTCCCAAGAGACATAACTGAATTTCCCAGTGAGAACCGACATGTGGAAAGTCTTCCTGCTTTTAAAAGCTTTCAATCATTTCTTTGGCATCAAAGAAGACAGTAAGAGCAAAGGGGGTATAATGAATTTGTGCCCTCTGTTCTCTTCTAGACTTAGGGCAGAGCTTAATGCAAAGCTAGCCCTTAATGAAATTTCTTCGAAATGCAAAGTAATCACTTCTCATTTCCTCACTTAATCTAATGTTACAGCTACTCCATTAATGTCACCACCTATTAGATACTTAACAACCAGCTTGTTTAGCTGCAATTTTATCGTGCGGATGCATATTCTGTTTTTCCCTTTCCTGATTTGGATAATGTTCAGTAATGGCAGTGGGGAACAGCCGTAATTTAAATATCTGAAAGCCTTCAGACCCTTAATCCCCTCTGGAAAATGAGAACGTTTAATGTCTTTTGCATTAAAAAAAAAAAAAAAAAAACACGCCCTGAAACAAGCATAAAGTTCATACGCCTAGCTTGTTTCTACACTTAATTCTAGATTAATCAGTGCCGACTCTGAATTACCATATTCCCATCCTGTATATTTTATTGGTTATTTAAAAAAAAAAAAAAAGCCCTCCGGTAACATAATAAAGAACAATGCGCCCACCAAGGTAATCATCTTTTATCCATCCATCTGACAATCTGACAATCCACTTTGCACTTCTAATTTTGCTGTATCAGAATTCATGTTTCTGATGGGGTCAAGAGTGTACAGACGGTCTAACAGGCTGGGCGGCATAATTTACAGTTGTGATCCCATAACACCCCGTAGTAATGAAGTCACCCAGAGGCGCACCATGTGCTTCCTAATCCCAGCAGAGCAACGGCAAAGGGGACGCTTGCAATTTTGTGTCTCGACTGGGGCAGATGTAACTGAACAGTCAATCACTGCCGTTACGATTGGAAAATATAGGTGGTCAGAAAAACTTAACGGATGCTTCCATCAACCAACACCTAGTTTGCGTGATGTAACCCAAAAAGAGAGACATGTTTGCAAATATGCGTCTATGCATTGGTTCCATACATGCAATCTATATTCAAACATATACTAGCCCCCTAGAGATATTTCCAATTCAGTCATCAATCCATTAATCCGAGTAGAGCTAGAAGGGACCTTGGAGGTCTTCTAGTCCAACCCCCTGTTCTGCTCATATCGAGGGACCCCTGTATTATCTGCCAATTTAAGGGTGATAATGCCACTTCATAGTCCTTGACTTATAATCATTCGTTTAGTGACTGTTCAATGTTATAACAGCACTGAAAAAGTGACTTAGGACAATTTTTCACACTTAAGACTGTCACACCATCCACACGGTTAGGTGACAAAAATTCAGACTCTTGGCAACTGACATGTACTTAGGTATGTACAGTTGTCCTGGTATCATGTGATCCTTTTCTCTGACCTTCTGACAAGGAAGGTCAATGGGGAAGCCAATTCATTTAACAACCGTGTTCCTAACTTAATAACTGCAGACATTCGTTAACAACTGTGCCAAGAAAGGTCGTAAAATGGGGCAAATCTCCCTTAACAAATATCTCGCTTAGCAACGGAAAATTTGGGCTCAACTGTGGTTGCAAGTCAAGGACTATTTATACTTGTCCCTTAGAGATATTTCCAATTCGGTCATACCAGGGGTCTCTTTTATTAACTCCTAATTAAGAGTGACAATGCCACTTCTCTCATTATGCAGGGCGGTCAGAACTCTTGGCTCTGATGGAGCACCCTTAGATAACAGATAATAATAATAATAATAATAATAATAATAATAATAATAATAATAATAACAACAACAACAACAACAACAACAACAACAACAGATAATCAGAGTTGGAAGGGATCTTGTAGGTCATCTAGCCCAACCCCCCGCCCAAGTGGGAGATATACATTGCAGACAGAGAAGGAGGATCCACCTACCCGTTTCTTCATCTATGTTGAAACGTCCAAGTCCACTGCCGTCACGGATGGAATACTGGATCTCGCCATCCCTGCCGGTGTCGTCATCACTTGCGTTGACTTGCAAAACACTTGTGCCGATGCGGGAGTTTTCCTTCACGGAGCCAATGACCACAAAGTCAGAAAAATAAGGTGTGTAGAGATTTTCATTCACATCCACCACTTCGATTTCCACAAAGGACACCGAGGATAAGGAAACGGGGCGCCCCTTATCCTTGGCTCGTACGGTCAAATTGTAGAACTGCTGCTTCTCGTAATCGAGTTCTTTGCTGAGCCGGATAGCACCGCTGGACTTGTCAATTTCAAATCTTCCATTGTAATCATTCACCAAAGAGTAACGCACTTGTCCCCCGAGACCAAGATCTGGATCTTGGGTTTCAAGCCAAGCGATGACAGTACCAACGGGTAAATCTTCCAAGACTTTCACACTATAGCTGGGTGGGATGAAAACCGGAGCGCAATCGTTGACGTCGTCCAAAAAAATCTTTAAGGGAACCACAGAAAACTGCTGGTGCCCATTCTCTGCTCTGTCCCTTGCTTCTATCTTTAATGTAAAATTTGCCTTGGCTTCTCTGTCCAAATGATCGCCCACGTAAACGATCCCCGTGGAGCTATTGATTACAAATTGCCGTGTGTCTGTCAAGATAGAGTAAACCACTTCTCCATTTATTCCCAGATCTCGGTCCCTGGCCTCTACTTGGATAATTTCCACACCGATACTTGTACTTTCCAAAATATTAACAGTGTAACTTTCCTGCAAAAATACTGGCTTGTTATCGTTAGCATCTTCAACGGTGATGGTAAGTAATCTCCAGGTGGCTTTCTGGGGGTTCCCCAAGTCGTAGATGGTAATATTAAGAAGATACAGTTCTGTCCTCTCGCGATCCAGAGCCATAAGGACCTTCAGCAGACCCGTCTCCATTTCAAGGTTGAAACAGCTGTCAGTGTTACCAGCTGATATGGTGTACAGGACCTTCCCGTTAAAGCCAGAATCAGCATCGTAGGCCTTGATTCGATGTATGGTAGCACCAACAGGGAGATCTTCTCTGACTGACAGGTCCGAGGGAAAGGATTTATCAAAATGTGGGGCCTGCCTGTTCACAGAATAAAAATCAAGAAAGCCATCTTCTGAATTAAGTTTGACATTGGCCTTGGCCTTTTTCAGCAGCTTCTCTGCCAACCTCTGAGCAACCCTGGTCTCTCTGCAGCTAAAGGTTTTGGAAGAGACCTTTCCATGAACTACTGAAATATTGACAAACATAGAGTCTGCAAAATATTCCCCATCGGTTGCCGTGATCCGAAGTCCAAAATTATTGGCCTTGATTCCAGCACCACCAAGAGACTTTTTAAGCTGTAGAACTCCCGAGTCTGGATTCAGATAAAAAAAACCCAATTCATTACCTGAAATAATTTTGTATTTCACCAGTTCCAGCTCATCGATGTCTATAGCAGAGACAGCTGTGATGTGCCCACCAACAGGAAAATCTGACGAGATGACTCCTTGACAAGCCACCTTCTCAAAGAGCGGCTTGTTGTCGTTCACGTTGCCTATGACAATAGTGACATTTACCTCACTTTCGTGGCGGTAAGGGGACCCCCAATCCGAAGCCCTCACAATAAAGCGGTAACTCTCTGGGGAGGACTCAAAATCCAGTTCTTCGGACGTGCTAATAACCCCAGTAAACTGGTTGATGGAAAAGGGGAGGGAATTTAAACTAGCGATGCTGTACGTGATGTAGCCATTTTCCCCACGATCTTTGTCAAAGGCAGAAATTGATAGGATATCAGTTCCCACAGGAATGCTTTCATTGATATAGGTGCTGTACAAAGGCTGGGTGAACTCTGGAATATGATCGTTGGCATCTTCAATTCTCACAGCCACATGTGCTTTTAAGTCCCCTTCTTTATTTGTGACTTCCAAGTCATACAATTCCTTGTCCACAATTTTTAAAAGAAGCGCTGTGGTAAGTAGCCCTGTTTTGGGATTTATCTTAAAATATTGTGCATCTTCGCTGAGAGTTAATTTATATTCTTCTCCCTGGGTTTCTGGGGTTAATTTAACAATGGCAACAACTACTCCAGGAGGAGAGAATTCGCTGATCGCGACATCATAAGTTTCTTTTTCAAATTTGACCGGATTGTTCTCCTTCTTAGGGCTGGCAATATGGACCAGTTTCATAGCTGAGAACTTTTGAGGAGACCCCTTGTCTTTGGCTTGCAAAGTAAGATTGTAACCATACGGGAAAGTGTCCCAATCAAAGGCCTTTTTTTCTTTGATTTTGTACTCGTTCAACCATCTCCCCTCCTTGACCAACTGAAAGTACTCCAAGGGATCTCCAGCAACGATAGAAAGGGATTCAATTTCACCGTTGGCACCTTCATCTAGATCATCAATGTTAACTACAGCATATGTAGACTCCTTATCTAAAGGGAAGGGGGCATGCGTCACAACATTAATAGTTGGAGCATGCTCATTTATACGTTCAATATGAATGTAAAGTTTGGCAGTGCTGCTTACTCCGTTGTTGCCATACAGCTTCATCCCTCGGTCCACAGCCAGAACTTCAAGGTCATAGCGGTTCTTCTCGTCATAGTTTAGCCTGCCGCTTAAGGAGATAACCCCGCTGGTGGGATGGACTGAGAACAGATCAACTTTATTTTTAAAGTAATAATAGAATTCGCCATTCGAACCAATATCAGCATCTGTTGCGGTGACCTGCGCGATACTAGTCCTCAAAGGTGTGCTTTCAGGTATTGTTACAGAATAGGTGGTGGGTGAAAATAAAGGTCGTAAATCATTCATGTCCAACACCTGTATGTTCACTTTCGTCCAAGCTTCCAAGTCTTCTCCCCGGACAGAACCTTTTATTACCAATAAATAATTGTCCTGGATTTCTCGATTGAGTATGGCGGAATTCCCCCCTTTAGTTCTTATCCTAAGGAAACAAAAATCAGCTATTGCCACTTCCTCTGCTTTGAAGAAACCTTCATCATCGCCAGACACAATCCTATATTTGATGTCCCAAGAGAAGTCAGCCATCGCGATGCCCATTCTGCTTTGGCTGTTCAAGTAAGTCCGTGCCGCTGAGTTTTCATACACCGTGGTGTTGTAAAGGGAATGTGTGAAGTGGAAGCCCAGTGGTAAACTCCCTTGAAGGCCATGACAGATGTTACCCAAAAGCTGCACAAGCAGGAAGACAAGGCCGGAAGCAGGCGCCAAAGGATATGACCAGTGGCCCATCTTCTTCTCCATCACATCATTCTTTCATCCTTTAAAAATAAACAAAAAGATGACATTGATTAGCAAGAAACACAGTGGTGTATGTCATACATATACACGTAGACATGGAATCAGTCTGTCTTTTCAAATTGTCCACCAAATTCTAATAATCTATAACTACCAAGCTGAAAGTTACCCATTAGCCAGAAAGGAGTTTTACAATTCTCAAATTACAATTGTTTCTAAACAGACCAGTCATACATAAGAGTTAGGCAGTTATTAAAAAGTGGATGGATGGATGGATGGATGGATGGATGGATGGATGGATGGATGGATAAAGAAAAGAATCAATGTGTTTTATAGTCTCAGACCAGTGGTAAAAATACATGAGAATGCCTTATAGGTGGACAAATACAACTGATAAGCTATAATCAGTAATCTGTTTTAGCATTTCACCAAGTTCTAGAGCAGTATTAAAAAGTTATTGGTTGCCTGCTAATGGTATAAAATGGATAATATTATAAAGGTCTCTAAGAATTTGACCAACCAATACATTATGCACCAAATGCAACCTTTAAAGCACCCCGTTGTAAATAAAATTTCTATTAGGAACTTCAAGTTCACCTCAAGTTAAAATTCTCAATACAGCTTTCAGAGGCACTTGGAGCTATGTGGCATCCCCACTGAATAATTGAAACCTTATAAATTAAACACACACGTACCCTATATAGGTGTACATCTGAAAACATACAAAATATTGCAACATTGTGCTTTTCAGATGCATCCTTCAGCGTATGGTCACTAGTTCAGAATCCATTATGAAAATACATGCATGCCACATGCTAGTGCCCAGTAAACACCCTAGTATCAGAATAAGCTCACACATTAGATATGCCCAAGGAAAATTGCTGAAAATATATATATTTATTTATTTCTCTTTCTTTCCTTCCTTCTTTCCTTCCTTCCTTCCTTTCTCTCTTTCTATTCATTCATTCATTCATTCATTCATTCTGTATAGTCACCCATCTCACTCCATGACTCTGAGTGGCTTACAATTCCTTACCTTTACAATGTCCTATAAATCTATTTGTTTTTGTCTGTTTTGCCATGGAACACACAACCTTTCCTGAAGTTTGTAACAATATGAATTGGGAAAATGAAATTTCACTATGTGATAGCCTTCAAATTATTACCAAATTACTATTAACACCATTGTGGTTGATCATCTGCTGTAGGAACAACTTTTCCTAGGGGGAAAAGCGAGTTCAAAGCAGGGGAAGAAAAAAATCAGGAACCAGCCAAACATTAGCACAACATTCCACAAGATAACCTAAATCTTAAAAACAACTTTAAGATTAAACACTGTTCTTGGATAGCCTTCTCCTTCTCCTCCCCTCCCCCCCCTCTGAATTCTTGGCTGGCAAACTGGTCAACTTGGATTCCTGGATGTAACGTGAGTCAGCTTTGTATTTTCCTGCTTAGCTGATAGGATATTTAATGAGATTAGAGGTAAATAGCCATAAAAGGACTGAGTGAAAATGAACCAAATTCACTCCGTAAATATGCCTCCCTTTGGAAACAAAGAACTCAAATGAATGTGATGGTTTCCAGTGGAAGATTAAGAGTGTGATTACTTGTGCGTGGTTTGGACACACCTAAGAAGGAAAACTGCACAGAACTGCAGAAGCAGGAGGGGTAATGAGGAGAGAAAGATTTGTTCTGAGCAGCCCCATCAACTGAAAAATGGGACTAGTCAAGGTGACTTTTAATTATATGTAGCGATTACCCGACAATAGCTACTTACTAACACTCCCAGAGAATTAAGTAAACTCTGTCATTCACCTTGTAAATGCAAATTTCCTGAGCTCAAGACAAATACCCTCATTACCATATTGATGAAATGTAGGATTTTCTGCGTGTCTTGGCAGAGCAGTGGCACGCAACTGGACCGACAGTTAGATACGAGAAATGCACAGAGACAAAAGAGGAAAGACATCAAGAAGCCGTTGGACACGTAGTACATAGTAAACACCAGCCCGTTTTCAAAAGCTGAAATGGACCTTCCTGTCCAAAATCGATCGATTGTCTCAATTAGTGTGAAATGGCTTGAGAAGCAACACGTATCAAAGAAATGTGTCCCTTTCTCTGCTTCCCCCCCCAGCTCTTTTTAAATTATTTTTTGTAGCAGTCCAAGAGTTTACCAAATCATGCACCAGGAAGTCTAAATTTGTACAGTACAGGCTGGTTCATTTTAGGGGGATTCTGTTTGCCTGTCCGTTACATTGCAAATGATGTCACTTTTGGCGGCCTATCTCACTCGTGTAGATCCGTCATAGCGCAAATGCCATAAATGATGTCGTTCACAGCCATTTGAATCGTTTGCAAGTGACACGTAAGCATGCTGCATACCCAAGCAATGCAAATTGTCACAAAGGTTGAATTAGCATTCTTTACATAATGGCATCGTTACGCGAATGGCTCAAATCAATGCAAACTTCAAAAAAATGTAATGTAAATGTAATAGACTCATGCATATTCTTTCAGATACAGGAGAACAGTCTACAATTTTAGGAGGCTCTCCAGGCATATATCTGATTCCATTGCATCTCTCCCCTTCCCTAAACAGGGAAATGAAGGTTTTCACTTCATTGGCCAACTATTGGTTTCTGAATCATTGAGTCACGGCTTCCTTCACAGCATATCTTTTAAAAACCTCCATGGGAAATACGACCTTCAAAATAGGCCTGGTCAAGAAAAAGACATCAAAAATAAAACTTCAAAGTCCCCCAACCTTCCCAGTTTGGTGGCCTGGAGCGGGGGGAGGGGAGGAAAGAAGGGATGGCTTTGTGGGAGGGACAGGCATGTGTGAGCACCCATCCCTTGTACAACTGGGGCTGAAAGTAGTGACGTACACAAGTTGGGCCGTGAATGCCCATGTGAGGCCCTGAGTGCTTGTGCAAGTGGGGCTGTGAGCCCCCACAACACTTGCCCGAGTAGCACTCTGAGCACCCACAAAGCTTGTGTGAGGCCCCGAGCACTCACCACCCTCATGTGAATGGAGCCCCGAGTGCCCGCAATACTTGTGTGAGTGGCACCATGTGCCTCTGCGACGCTCACACAAGTGACACTATGCGTGCGCACATGCACCAGCCAACCACTCACATGGCCCAGTTACAAACAGGCCATGGACTGGTAACGGGTGGCAGCCCACAGTTTGGAGGCCCCTGATACCCCCCCCATAATACCAAAACGTCGGAAGTTGACAGTATTTTCATACCCTTCTTCTTAAACAAACGAGAATTAAGGTGGAGCCACTTGACCTTCTTTCTTATGCTCTCTTCCTTTTTCCTTCTTTAAATTCATGTTTTCTTATCACTGCATTTCTTCCCAAAGTTTGTATTTGTGATTCTGTCTATGCAGCAATGCCAATACAGTGGGCAGCGGTGGCAATTTTCAGCTCCTTGTTTAATTCTGGGGTGTAGCAAGGTTAATAGAGAAAATGTATGCTGCAAAATTATTTTAAGCCTCAATTTGCAAAGAAAAAAGGGGGGAAACGGGGTTAGCAAAAAATGGCTGCTTCGTTGCCACCAAGTTTTATGAGCACAACCTGAGAGGTGGAAGAATTTGGAGACCAAATTGCAGCCTACAATTCGGAGAGAGTAACTGCTACTCAGATCAAGTCCTACTGGGCAAGATAGTCTTCATTAACTATAAAAGCTTATTCTTAGAAAAATAGTTTTAACAACTCTCACTTGCAACAAATGAGAAGGGGGGACTCACTGCAAAAGACCTTACAACAGAGATGGCAAACCTTTTCGGCACTGAATGCCCAAAGCACGCATGTGTGCGTGCACCCCCAAAATGCAATAAGTGCATGTTCCCCATGCATGCATGCACATTCCCCGTGCATGCACTCCACTTCCTGTGCATGCGCCCCACCCATGCATGCGCTTGCGGCTCTGCACATGTGCCCTCTCGTGCATGCACACATGTCCCCTGCACATGCACCCGGTGCCCCACCCATACAAAGCAGAGACCCAAAGACCAGCTGGTCGGTGGGAGGCACAGGTGCATGCACAGCACAGCTGAGCTGAGGCAGTGGCTCATGTGCCTACCGAGAGGGCTCTGCATGCCACCTCTGGCACGCGTGCCACAGGTTCGCCATTACGGCCCTAGACATTGGGAAAGGTTGAAAGCAAAAGGAGATGGGGACGGCAGAGAATGAGATAATCAGATGGTATAACTGACACTGTGAACATGGGTTTGAGCTAACTCCGAGAGACAGCGGAGGATATGGGGAGGAACTGGCATGTTGTGGTCCATAGCATCACAGGAGTCGGCGGTGACTTAGCAACCGAACAACAACAGCAAAAAAGTTCAACAAGATTCCTAAAGTATGTAGATATACCCATGAGTTGGGGTGGATATATTGAGTATCTGTCTTTGCAGAAAACCTTATTATTTCACCATTAGGATTCCAAGACACTCATTCTATACTCATTAACATTCTCAAAGTGGTCTTTAACTTCTGAGGCCAGGCTCTCACCATCAATAATTTAAAGCAGAACACCTGGGAACTTAGCTTTACTGTCCTACGAAGTTTAGCGAGAGAATAGAAAATCTGTAGAATTTTAAATCCTGCCCCACTGTTACAGCATTAAAAAAAACTCAAAGGAAGATGAAGGCCCCACAGAACAGAGAAGGATCGTTGATGTTCTTAATTCCGCATGTCTAGGCACTAATCTTATAAAACGTCCTAACACAGGTATAAGTCACCATTTCCTTCCCCCCCAAAAGTATATATTTTCTATCACATCTGCAATTGGCTTTATCACGCATATCATAAAGATATTTACGAGTTTGCTACCTCCTTGAAAACGTATCTCAACAAATAGGGTATGGTTCAGGTATCGTGACTACTTCCTACTACGTATCATGGCTCAAGCTAGTTTGTTCTAGCGGTTAAGGCACCAAGCTAGAAGCTGGGAGCCTGTGAGTTGTAATTCCATTTTGAAAGCTGACTAGGTGACTTTGAGC